ATCCAAGAATCTCAAAGTAATAATGAAAAAAAGTGAAAAGGAAGCAAGGAAGAGAATTAACAGTACTATAACTCAAACTGTACTACAAAGCAGTAGTTAAAACAATTTGGTTTTTCCACTAATTGATCAGTGGATTAAATATATATACAGAAGCAACTGAACAGTGGCATAGTTTTTTTTTAACCCATTTACTAGAGCAAAGACTTATCATTTAACAAAATCTATTAGGAAAAGTGGACAGCAGTCTGACAGAAAATAGATGTATGCCAAAACCTCATACTATATGCCGAGATAAACTTTAAATGGATACATGACCCAAAAAAATGACTAATGCTGAAAGTTTCCGGAGGGGTGGGGGAGAAGGCCTGTGCTGCCTACTGCTTCCTGTTGGTCCAGCCATTCTAAAAAGCAATTTGCAGCTACGCCCAAAAAAGTAACTAACCTGTGCATACCTTTTGACCAAAGTGTAACACTATAAGGACTATGCTAATTTAGGGGGAAAAAAATCAAAGAAAGAAAGAAAGGACTTATATATGCAAAAATATTTATAGCTGTTCTTTTTATAAAAAGTAGCTCTAAACTGGGAACTAAGGGGCTGTCCTATTGGGGAATGTCTAAACAAATTATGCTGTATGAATAGAAAATTATTGTGCCATAAGAAATGAAAAAAAGGAGCTTCTGAGGAAATGAGGATGACCTTTATGAACTGATGCATAATGAAGTGAGCATAACTAGAAAAATAATTTATATAATGACATTATAGAAAAAAAACAACAACTTTGAAAGACATTAGAACTCATTCAGAGTAATGATAACCACTAATCCAGAGGACTGAAAATGAAACATGCCATTCACCTCCTGTCAGAGAGATAATTAACTTAAAATGCAGAGAGAGACACATTTTCTAGCATCACCAATGTGGGAGTTTATTTTGCAGGACTATGCATGATGAGGGATTTGTGTTTTTCAGAGTGGGGTTTTTAGGGATTTTTATTCAATAAAGGGATTAATGGAAGGAACAGATTATAAATGCATATGAAAGTAAATAACATTTAGAAAGGGGGGAGTAACAAGGGGAAGTTATAAACATAATTCTAAGATGGAGGAAATGGTAGTAGAAATGATGGGAAATTTGGAATGAAGTGACCATTTCATCTTAGAGTTTGTGATAGATAAGAAAGGGAAAGTCAAAATACTCTATGTACCCTAGATTTTAGGAGAAGGGAATTTAGGAAGCAAAGAGAGAGGGAGAGAAGATGAAAAATGTGTGTGTGTGTGTGTGTGTGTGTGTGTGTGTGTGTGTGTGTGTGTGTGTAGACAGGTATTTCCTGCCTTAAATTTCTGCTTAGGAAGTCATTCCAGTATCATTGAAATCTGTGTGTTTAGAATTCTCTCAGGAATGAAATCTTGTGACATTAATGATTTTGATGAGGAATAGCTCTCTAAATAAACAAGTTCATGTGTTCATAACACTTACAAACTAACTTAGATTTAAAGAAGACATACAGAACATAGAAGCAAGAACAGGTAACTAAGGATGAATATAAACAATAGGAATGGTGTTGTAAGAATAGTGTTAGAATCACTAAAACTGAGAAGCTGAAACAGCAATGAATGTTTAAAGAAATAAAGACTTTTTTTTAAGCTTATGATGGAGGCAAGAAAGAACAAAGAAGGGTTAGGATGACTATTCAGGGGAGTTGGGATGATGATGGTGGATAACAGAACTATTCAACTCTTAATCTCTCTCTGTTTCTTCTAAGGAAAACAATCTTCAGCTTGAGAAAGATAGAACAAACATAGTTGACAGGAAAATGAAACCCTAGATCAGACCTGCACAACAGTGAAAAATGTAGAGGAAAATATCCTTTGTACGTAGAGGAAATCTTTTGGCTTGCCTCAAGCTGCCAGTGGGTTGTAAGCGGCCTGCAGGCCAAACGTTGTGCAGGCCTGCCCTAGATAGTAAAGAGATGGTAGGGAATGCCTAGCCACCTTCAGTGTTCAAGTCACCAGGTACAAATGAACTTCATTCCAAGATACTCAAGGAACTGGCAAAGGTGGCTGGTGAACCACTGTCAGTGATCTTAGAATAATTGCAGAGATTAGTAGAAATGCCCTAAGGATAGGAGCTGAGTATATGTCCACATTATTGAAGAAGGGAAAAGGATGGATGAACTCCACAATAAATCATAAAACTGATCATACCCTTTGACCAAGCAAATCTGTTACTGAGACTTGACTGTAAATGTTTCATTAAAAAGGACCTATAGATACAAAATATTCGTGGCTGCCTTATTTACAATAGTGGAAAAACTGGAAGCATCCTATAGATCCAATCCCTGGGGAATGGGTGAGTCAATTCATGGATCTTATGGTGCCATAAAATTTTAACTATAGAGCATAGGTGGAAATTTGGAATGACTCATGAAGCAAAAGAAAACAAGATTAGTAGAATGAGAACAGCAAGCACCATGACTATGTAGTCTTCAGAGTAACTGTGATCTCATCAGTGTAGGTACTATTTTCCAGCAGAATGGATTTGCGACCCATTGGGCCTTCAATTTAAGACATCTGTTTTAAGTGCCTCCAGTGCTGGCAGCTGATGATACAAAGTCTCAAACTAAACAGCCCCTGCCTTCGAGGAGCTTGCATTCTATAGGGGAAATATGACAAGTACACAGATGAGGAATTTGAAGAGGTAAAAGTATTAATGAGGGACATGTATATGGGTGGGAGAGGTTTAAAGCAGGATGTTGTTATTGAATTTCCCCTTGAAGGAAGAAGCTAGGGATTCTAAGAGGCAGAGGTCAGGGGACACGTATTGCCAGGATTGTCCCGGGGGAGGGGAGGGGGGAGTATGGGAGGACAACATGGAGATAGGAGACGGCATATCAAGTTCAGGGAACAGCCAGTTGGAACACAGGGGAGTGAAGGAGAGTAATTTTAGTAGGTAAGTAGGATCCAGGCTGTGGACGGTTTTAAATGTCAAGCATTTTATCCTGAAGTCAGATTGCCACTGAAGATTTCTGAACAGAGGGTTGACAAATTCAGGCCTTTGCTTCAGGAAGATTATTCAATAACTGTATAGAAGATGGATGCGAGAGGGAGAGACTTGAGGCAGAGGGAAGAATTAGGAGGCTATTGTAAATTAATCCAGGCAAGAGGTGACAAGGGCATGAACTACAATAACGGCTGTGTGAGTAGAGAGGGTTGGATATGAGATGATGTGAGGGGGAAATAGACACTGTTCCCTCTCCCCCAAGTTCTGCCTTTCTGCTAGAGGAGTTCAGTGCCTATGCTGATGCTCCCTAACCTCCCCATTCTTCATTCTCTTTAACTCCTTTGCTCCGCTTTAGCTACACACGGGAGTGATCACCCCTTGGATTGCTATTACCTGTAAGCGTTCTGCTTCTTCAGTCAAAAACCCTGACATTCTTCTGTCTGAACCTGCGTAACAGCCTGTCATTCCATCTTTCTCTATGCTTAACTCTCCGCAACCTATTCTTTTCCCTCACTGTGGTGTTAGATTCCTCTGCTTCTCAGCACTTTCTCAGGCCGTTACCCTGGCTGGGCCTTCGCTTTTTTCCGTCTCGGTCTGGACCCTCTGGTTAGCCAGTTCATCTTCATATTGTTATCAGCTCTAAAAGCCCTTGCCTCTTTGTGTTATGGCCATTTTTTCACTTGCCAAGCAGTATTTCTCCATTATTTCCATCATCCATCTCTTCTACTCCTACTTGCATGCTGCTGAACCATACTGGAGGAAGTCAGACACCCATGCTGATTAGGGACATTATAAATTCATGTTCTCCAACTTCAGCTGGACCCTCACTGTAGCAAAGCGATCGTTTTCTTCCTCCTTAACTGATGCCCCATCTCATTCTCCACAAAAGCTTTTTTTTGAGACAGCTGGTGGCGCAATGGCTAGAGCACTGGGCCTGCTGCCAGGAAAATCTGATTTCAAGTCTGGACTCAGACAGGTGCTAGCTGTGTGACCCTGAGCAAGTCACTTAACTGTGATTTGCCTCATTTTCCTCAACTGTAAAATAAAGATAATAAATAGTACCTACTGCAAAGAGTTATTATGAGGATCAAATGAGATCGTGTTTATAAAAGCACTTGGCACAGTATTTGACCTATGCTTTTTCCTTTCCCAAACCTCTCAAGCCTCCTATATTTTCCCTCCCTCTGTCTCTCTCTCTCATACACACACACACACACACAGAGCAGAGCTCCTTACTTTATTGAAAAAATTGAAGCCATTTACCCCCTCTTCTCTCCTTTTCATCTCCAAATTCCTTGACATCATCCTCTGCTCTTTCCTCCTTTGCCTCAGCCTCTAATGAGGTGGCCCTTCCTCTTGCCAAGACAAACCCTTCAGCATGTGCGCTTGATCCTATCCTCCCCTATCTCCTCTAGCAGATTGAAACCTTAGTCATGCCCCATCTCTCTAATATTCAACCTCTCCTTATCTCCTGGCTTAATCAGTGATTTAGAAGAAGGCATCGATGGCATGCTTATCAATTTTTCAGGTGATGCAAAACTATCAGGGACAGATTGCTAACAGAGACAGGATCTACAAGATCTCAGCAGGCCAGAACAATGAACCAAATCAAATGTGATTTTTAATATGCATGAATATAATGTCTTTACACTTGGGTTTTAAAACAACAATAGAGAGAAAGGATGTGGTTAGACAATAGTTACATGGAAAAAAAACCCCTCCAGGTTTTAGTGCATTGTTAGCTAGCTACTGATGTGAAATAGCAGTGTGATAGCCAAAAAAACTAATGTGACCTTAGGCTAAGCTTGGGATCCTTCTCACACATCCATTAGCAGAGTGGTAACACCAGATTGCTTGGCATTTCTGCTTCCAAGTGTTGCTTCCCATGGCTTTAAGGAAGGGCTTCATTCCCAGAGAACAAGTCTCCACTTCCTTTCAGTAGATGTGTTGTTCTCACGATGTCATTCCCTTGTCAACATACTTTCTCTCTTTCTCTAAGGTTTGGCCGAAAGAATGTTCTCTTTGTGACGATGGGGATGCAGACGGGATTTAGCTTTCTACAGGTCTTCTCAACAAGCTATGAGATGTTCTCAGTGCTATTTGTCCTTGTCGGCATGGGACAGATCTCTAACTATGTGGCTGCTTTTGTCCTTGGTATGACAATCTCAGCTAAGCTGAGGTACCTGTTGTGTGTCTCATTACATCCCATCCTTTATATTCCTTATGACATCCCTTGTGTTCCTCACCCATGGGCTCATTCCTGACTAGGAGGCTTTAGTGGATCCTATTTACAAACAGGAAAACTCAGTCAATAAGTGTTTATTTAGTGATTACTCTGTGCCAGGCACTGTGCTAAGTGCTAAGGATAAAAAAGCAAAATGGGAGCCAGTCATTATTTTGTCCAAGATGAGCTAATGGAAGAGCCCAAATGAGAGCTGTTTTCTACTCCTCTGAGCCCCACTGCTGCCTTGATCTCAAAAGTGACTGGACATCTACATCTTCTTCTCGTTGGGCAGAGATGCAGTAAAACCCTACCAATGAAGCAGTTTTCACCAATTCCTGGCATTAATGTGGCCTAGGAAGGGGAATGTTGTTTGATCTTTGGGACTGCATGAATTAAGGGCACTGTTTTCCAAGGAGAAGGTTGTAATCAATGATCTTATCAAAACAGAAATTGCTCCCTCCCAGAGAAAGGCAGAAAGTACTTAAAAGAAAATGTTTGTAGGAAAGGGGTTTTATTAATATGGGCCTATAATTCCTATCCAATTATTTAATTAAAATTGTAAGCAGAGTCAGAGGAGACCAGCCAGATCCACAGAAAGGCTTTTGGTTTTTGATATATTGTCTGTCTAGTTGCTGGAGCCAGATATTCTTTCCTCTCCAAGGTTTTTGTCCCCTGGACCTCTGGTTCCAGGGTCACTGGTCTTTGGGTTCCTTTGGTTTGGACAGTTTTAAGAGAGTTATTTTCTCCTCAGATTTAATCAACAGTATTCCCTCTTGGTCTAATTTCATTATCACTACCTCACCCCCCAACCTTCCCGATGGACCTTTTTTTAGTGACTTTCCCTTTCATTGGAACTTAATATCAACTACCAAGAAACACATGTCTTACATAACATCATTAGGACTTGACTTTGTATTGTTACCTTTGTTCCATTCTCTTCCGGCTGATATAGGGGAAAGTGAGTAATCATATAAGTGAGCCAGCAGTGGACTCATGCCACTATTTTGGAATTGTTAATCCAGTCCCTGCCTCATCCTTTACCTTCGTGTTTGTCAGCTAGTCTGAAATACCTTCCAGGCTCTGAAATGAAGACAGTATCACACTATTGCTATAGACAGCCAAGTTACAATGCTAATGTATTTCCCTCTTTTTTTTTTAAAGGAACAGAAATTCTGGGCAAATCAATTCGAATAATATTCTCCACATTAGGAGTCTGCATATTTTATGCAATTGGCTACATGCTCCTGCCATTGGTTGCTTATTTCATTCGAGAATGGAGGATGCTACTGCTGGCCCTGACTCTACCAGGGTTGCTGTGTATTCCGCTGTGGTGGTGAGTATGACCTCATTCACGGAGAGACAATTATTGTAGCTGATTGAATTTGGCCATAAAACTAATATGTTCTGTAGTTTGTTCCTAAAAAGACAGGAGAAGGAAATAATTTGTTTACTTCCTAATCAAAGCTTCCAAGAACAGGAAGCCCATTGATTTTTCAAATGTTTTGAAAAAGGTTGTTATTTTGAAAGAAATTATTATTTGAAAGAGAATATAAGAGACATATTCTCTAATATTGTTATTAATTATTTATATTATTATTTTGAAAGAGAATGTTTCTCCTGTTATTTCTGAGAAATAATAACAAAAAATAAATAATTCAACAATCTAGTGTACAAGCCTGTGCTTGGAGCTAGAGTCATAAAAGAAGGAGAAAACGCAGTCTCCTCCCCATAGGAATTCTGAGCCTGTTCAAGGAGAAAAAATAATACTTGGCATATAATATTAAGTGCTAAATTTTGTGATTAAAACTCTTTCTAAATATGTGAGGCCTTCTGAGAAGTGAGATCACTGAAGGCTAGAGTAATCAGAGAAGACTTCTTGGAAGATGTGAGACTGAGTCTGGGCTCTAACGGACAGATAGAATTTGGATATCCTGAGGGAGGAAGATGTTCTAAGTAAGAAGAAAAGCATAAACAGGAATAGAGTATGATGTGTGGAAGGCCCAGGGAGAAAACTGACCAACGAGAGGAGACGGCACACATGGTGAGGGCAGTGGGGAATCACAGTGGATAGGTAGGCAGTGAACTTTAAATTGTATGTGGTCGGGACAAGGCAACTGATTTAATGACCTTGGTTTTCAGGGGTTTGGGAAAGATCCACCTGTGTGCAGTATACAGGAAGGCTATTGAACCTGGACTAGGATAATGGCTATGGGAGAGTGAGACACGTTCAAGAACTATGTTAAATTTCCCATTCAGTTTCCAAAGAAATCTGGTAACACCACAAGCCCATTTCTGTCACACAGCTTGCTACAGTTAATTAGTCTGATTGACACACAGCCTAAAAAAAAAATTTCCCCACCTCTTCCTATTGTCCACAAGGTGGCACCATTGTTTTTATGTTGCACTGGTACGCTTCAACTATCAGAGATAGTGCGGTAATTTCATGAGTTGTCACATTTGGTTTACCCACATCAAAAAAAAAAAAAAAAAGGGGGGCCAAGTTACCAAACAATCTTTGTGTTTAGATTTTATTGTGGTCTGGCCTATCATTGAGTAGGGAAAACTCTGGGAACTTAGAATATTCATTCATATTTGTTTTTCTGAATACAGATGTTAGGGTTTATGCCCTAACCTTGTACATCAGCATGTCCGTGTCACAGTCTGTTTTCCTTGTAGCATCCTGGTAGTGCTTACCTTGTAATTGTCATGCACTGTAGATTTAGCACATTTATTAAACTTGCTACTGCAGGGTCATTCCTGAATCGCCCAGATGGCTCCTGTCTCAGGGAAGATTGAAAGAGGCAGAGGTCATCATCCAGAAGGCTGCAAAAATCAATGGGATTGTTGGGCCATCGATAATATTTGACCCTATGGAGGTAAGTGCCGAAAGAGATATGACCAATCAGTCATGCATCTGCATCAATCTGAGACCATCTATCTCTAGGTGTGGTACACGCCAGCAGAAGAAAGTGTTCTCTGTCCTTAGCAGTGGGAGCAGGGTAGCTACAGAGAAAGGAGCTTCTGGTGTCAGTGAAGGGCAGTTTCTTGATCTTCAGGATAAATTAAGGCTTTGCTGGCAAAATTGGAGAGCAAACCTTCATCTGTATTTGCTGCTAACTGTTGGAGAAGCAGGTACTGTTCAAGCACAAATTCTTATTCTAGCCTTTCGCTCAAAAAACAAAAAGTGTTAAATGTTTGTGTGGGACACCACTCAAATTAAAAAAAAAAACATGCTTAGAGGTTTTTCAAGGAGAAACAGAAAGTTAATTTATTTGCTATTCTCAAGAATAGGGTATCCCTCCACCAGGATGCTCTGATGAGGGGAGACAGAGCACAGGAGCTAAGAACCAGACTAAATAGCCCTAACAGGCAAATCCCCCCTCCCAACAACCGGCCAGTGTTTTGGCTCACAACCTATGGAAACAGAAAACAAAACAAAGAGAACAATATACATGTCTGTATTTAGCCCCTTAGTTTGCTGAGGTAATACCAAAGAAGCAATTAAAGATGTGCAGTCAAGCTAGACACCGTACTGTATAGCCAGCTCACCATGACCGAAATATAGCAACAGGTACAACAAGATATGGGGGGGGGGGGCTTCTTCAGGAGTTTCAGGCTTGGCAAACTTTAACTACTGATATAACAATGGCCTAAAAAGGGGGAGGTACTTGGGACTGGACTCCCATAACTCACGTGATTTCTAGTAAACCGAAATTTAGGCCCGTCAGGCTGCTATGCCTGCCTTGAGTTTAATATAATTTCTGTTCATTCTTCTAAGAAGTCTTCACAGGACCCACCCCTTATCCCGCTCAACAAGAACCACTGACCCCCCTGAGGAGGCTTCACTTTTGGGAGTTCATCTCTCACATATTTATTTTACGTAGAGTTAGGTCAAGAGAGAAGAAGTCAAACTCTCATCCTTATGGGTTGATTTTATTTTTTTTTCTCAAAGCAGGAAGCTGAGCTCCCTGGAAACCAATCATTATTTATCAGGTTATTGATAATAACCCTTTATTGGTAATAAATATTAGATATTTAACAGTAGCAATTTTGCATAGTTTTTATCTATTTGAATTTCTTACTGCTTCAAAGCAGCTGATTGAGGTCATGGATAGGAAGCTGGACTTGGAGTCATTAAGATTTGGGTTCAGATTGGTCCTGTGACCTAAGTAAGTCACTTACTGTCTCGAAGCTTCAGTTTCCTCATCTGTAAAATGAAGGTAATAATAGTACTTACTTCACAGAGTTGTTGTGTATCAAATGAAAAATTATATGTGAATCCCCACTCCTAACTCTCTGGACTTTCTCTTTCATCCCCCCTCAACCTCCATTTCCCCCACCTCCCTTCCCTCTACCTTGTTTTGGCCCAAAACTATAACAGGGCTATTCTGCTCCCTTGGTCCTACCATCAACCAGAAAAGGCCAGGGGTATTTGTTGCTAAGCTATGGCCTGGCTGTATCTTTGGCAGGCTCCCAGGAGCATAGATTTGGGAAACCATGAATGCAGAATAGGTCCTAGGAATTCTTCAGGGAAACCATAAACTTTGTGCTCTAGCATCGGTGCCGATGGCAAGGATGTGAAGGATGGCATGGTTTGCTATTCTCATCTTCACCACATTTGGAATCCAGGACTGTTCCTGGATTGTAATTCTTAAAAGGGTCAAAAGGAAAAATGCCCTCCATTTCAAGCAGTAAACTCATAGGATCACAGATTTACAGGTAGACAGGACTTTAGGTGACCTAGTATTTCAGAGCACTAAGGTGATTCTACCTAGCTCCCAGTCTTCTACCAAGCAGTTCCCAGAACTCCGTGTCCCATCCCCCACCCATTCACAACACTCTAGTTTATGTCTTCTCCCTTTCCTTTGCTCCCTGGAGAGGGCCCACAACTAAATACTTCCTAACCCTTTAGCCTAGATATCCTGGCGCTGCAGTAGGAGGGAGGCTTGGAAACACTCACTGATAGCCTCTGATAAACGGAAGAGGAAGGAAGCATAGTCACAGAAATATGTTCAACCAAGGTTCGTTTTGGGTGAACCAGAATGTTTGCAGAAAAATTGAGACTACGATCTATCCCCCTCCAATAAAAGATTGCTTTGAGGAAAAAAGGCTATTTCAGCGATTCCCATTAAGTCACAAACTGACCTTTTACTGAACTGCTAACTTAGGGAAAAATCCACCACTCAAAGCCAGGTTTACTTAAGAAGAAACATCAGAATGTTTGGACATAAGCTTGATTAATGGCTACGGCTGCACCAAGTTTGACAGGAAGTGACTCTGGGTGAAGCTTGGGTCAGTTCTCCTGTTTTTCTTTCCAAATTCTCTTTTCCCTGGGACTAGTTCTGTAAACATACAGTGTGAGAACAAATAACAGAAATGCTTCCAAGCAAACAGACTGGTTTGGGTTCATTTCAAACATTTATTGAGCACCTACCATATGCAAGGCCTAGGCTAGATGCTAATGGGGAAAATGGCTTGTTTGTTGTTCATCCTTTATTTTTGAAGAGGACCAGTGACATCATAGGGTGAGGTCTTGACTTGGTTGTGAATTGGATTAAGTGAGGCAGAACTGTGCACTCTTCCTCCAGAGGTATCAGAGTCCAGTGGCAAGATAAATGTCAATGCTACCGGGATGACCCGGGATGCAATGGGTGACCTTGACCTTTCTGAATTAAGGTCTTTCCTAAGTATCAGTTTGTCTGAGGCAACACCCATTCCATGACTAAAGGCTAGGTAAGAATTGAGACCAAAAAAAAAAAAAAAGGCCTAATTAGCCATTACAAAAATATCTATCTGGTTAGGGAAGACTCTCAAAGTTTCTGGCTAGAATAGAAAACAATTGTTATTTACACTCATTCTAAGCCATCAAAACCTAAAGGCTTGGGCTGGAGGCTATTACTGGCCATTCAATGAAAGCCAGAGTGATTTGGGTTTAAAGACGAGGGTATAAGAAAGAAGACAGGGTATAAGAAAGAAGACAGCGTAAAAGATGGCTTAAAGTTTAACATAAAAAAACCCAATTAACTAAGATCTTGGCAGCTGCTCCCATCACTTCCTGGCAAGTAGAGCGAGAAGAAATGGAAGCAGTGTCAAATTTTATGTTCTTGGGCTAAGAGATCCCTACAGACTGCAACTGGAACCATGAAATTAAAAGATGCTTGCTCCTTGGAAGGAAAGCTATGGCAAAGCAGGACAGCATACTGAAAAGCAGAGATATCACCTGACCAACAAAGGTCTATATAGTCAAAGCTCTGGTTTTTCCAGTAGCAATGTATGACTGTGAGAATTGGACTATAAGGAAAGCTGAACACTGCAGAATCAATGCTGTCAAAGTGTGGTGCTGGAAAAGACTTTTTAGAGCCCCTTAGACAGCAAGAAATCAAATCAGTCAGTACTTAAAAAAATTAATTCAGGCTATTCATTGGAAGGTCAGATACTGAAGCTGAAGCTTGAATACTTTGGCAACAAAATAAGAAGATGGGATTCATTGGAAAAGACCCTGATGTTAGGAAAGATTGAAGGCAAAAGGAGAAGAGGATGGTAGAGGATAAGATGGGTAGATAGATAGTATCATGGAAACCAGAAAGATGAACTTGGATAGACTTCAGAGACAGCAGAGGATAGAGGTCTATGGTCCACGGGTTCACAAACTGTTGGACAAGACTGAGCAACCACAAGACGCTCCAAATGAAACGCAATGGGCTCTTTTAAAGCCTGTTTTTTCAGAGCTATATTGCAAGAAATCGTAAATGAAAACTTCACAGAGCAAAAAGTAAATCATCCTAGCTTTTGAGAGAAAAAATAATAAATAAGAATTACCTTTTTTAATGGCTTGTTTAGCTCAGACGCAGAGGAGTGGTGAGACCTGCCCAAAGATTACAGTTGCTGATGTAGATGTCTTCTGGCCCTCCTCTGTCAAACGATGACCTCAGATGTCCCTTACAGAGCTCATAGCCTGAGGACGTCAAGATTCTATTTAACCCGCACTGTGCATCAAGCAGGCAAGGAAATGCGCTGTCAGGTTGTGTTCTTGCTCTGGCTCCATGCCCAACAGGGAATGACTCAGTTCAGCAAACTTTCAAGTGTTCTTGTCAAGTCGTTTCAATCATGTCAACCTCTCCGTGACCCCATTTGGGGTTTTCTTGGCAAAGATAGTGGGGTGGTTTGCCACTTCCTTCTCCAGCTCATTTTCCAGATGAGGAAACTGATGCAAACAGGACTAAGTGACTTGCCCAGGGTCACACAGCCATAAGTGTTTGAAGCCAAATTTGAACTCAGGTCATCATGATTTCAGGCTCAGCACTGTACCACCTAACCTATGGCAAATCACTGTTCTAACACTAGGAGAAAGATAGCATTCAAGTAAGACAGCCCTTGCCTTCATAGAGCTTATATTATAGCTTGGCAAGAAAATATAAAGCAAAGCAAATAACTACAATAAAAATACTACATAAAAGCATCAAGTTTAAATGAAATGGTGGATAAGGCTAGGGGAGGGGCCATTACTAAAGGAATCAGAGAAAGCCTCATTCAAGTTGGGCTTTAAAGGATGGGTAGGAATTCAGTAAAGTCAGGAGAGTGGGGAGGAGAGAGGAAAGTGAAGGAAGTGGCCATTCCAGGTATAGTACTTAAGCAAAGGCACAAAGATGGAAAAACTCAGGGATTTTATGGAGGATCATGAACAAGCCCAGTTTGACTGCAACAAAGAGTATGTGAAGGAGAGTAATGCAAGATAAATTAGAAAGTCAAGGTGGCATCAGATTATGAATGGCCTTAAACTCTAAGCTAAGAAGTAGTTGGCTATCTTAGCATTGTGGTGCAACTTCATAAAAATTGCAGGTAGGAAACTTGCCTCCAGTGTTGCCACTGCTAAGGTCTAGGAAGCTCTTCAGAAGACTGGAATCCTCAAGGGGAAAAACGCCCTGTGTTAGGAAAAGAATTTGACACCCTGTCCTTTGAAGTCATGCTTGTCTGCTGGCTGAAGTCTCTTCCCTTACTACCCTGTCTTTCCTACAGTTGCAAGACCTGAATTCCCGCAAGGAGCAGTCCCATAGCATTTTGGACCTATTTCGAACCCAGAATATCCGGATCCTCACAGTCATGTCTATAATTCTGTGGTGAGTAAGTGTGAGCTCCTCAGTGCTACCAGAACAGCACTGGTGGCTGGGTTATCCCACTTTAAAATCCTGATTACTTAGAAACAAAAAAGCAGATGGGGATCGAACCAGTAATGTAAATTTGAAGGAAAAAAAAAATCAGGTGAAGATGTGACCTGTTAAAGATGCAATACTGTGTAAAACTTTTCTGTCAAACACAGCTATACAACCAAGAATGTGGATGCTGGTTGGTGCATATATGATTCAGTATTGATATTACTTCATTGTCTAAGGTACCTTTTAATAAAATGTAGTTTCCTTGATTATTTCTTTTAATTAGGTCTATTTTGCTTTTGCTTCGTCTGAGATCATGACTGCTATCTCTGCCTTTTTTACTTCAGATGAAGTAGTAAATTCTGCTCCAGCCTTTTAATTTAACCCTGTGTGTATCTTTCTGTTTCAAGTGTATTTCTTGTAAACTATATATTGTTAGATTCTGGTTTTGAATCCATTCTGCTGTCTGTTTTATGTGTGAGTTCATCCCATTCACATTCACAGTTATGATTGCTGTGTAGTTTCCTCCATCCTATTCTCTTCTATTTATTTTTTCTTTTTTACCCTCTCCCCTCCTCCTTCTGACTATTACCTCCCTTAATCCTCCCTCCCTCTTATCATTCCTCACCTTTTTCTTATTCCATTTCCTTCTTACTTCACTGTTGGGTAAGATGAATTCTGTACACAGTTGTGTGTGTATCTATAGTCTTCCCCTCTTGTACCAGTTCAGGTGAGACTACAGTTCAAATGTTACCCCCACCCCTCCCCCATTTCCCTCTCCATTTTGTAAACTTTTCCTTGCATGCCTCTTTTATGAGATAATTTTCATCATTCTTCCTCTCTCTTCAATATTCTCCCATTGCATCCCTCTTTTTTACCTTTCTATTCTTCTTTTGAGATCATCCCAACATAATAGACTCACACACATGCCCTCTGTCTAAGCAGACTCCTAAGTGCCCTAATGATGGTAAAGTTCTTAGGAGTTCCAAGTATCATCCTCCCATATAGAAACATAAACAGTTTCTTATAATTTCTCACTCATGTTTTCCTCAAGTCTTATGTTTAAATGTCAAATTTTCTATTCAGCTCTGGCCTTTTTGTCAGGAACGCTTGAAAGTTCTCTATTTTATTAAATATCAATTTTTTTCTCTTATAGTTAGTTTTGGAGGATATATTATTCTTGGTTGCAATCCTAACTCCTTTACCTTCGAGAGTATCATTCCAAGCCCCTCTATTCCTTTAAAGTGATAGCTGCTTAATCTTGTATAAACCTGACTGTGGCTCTACAATATTTGAATAGTTTTTTTCTAGCTGCTGTCAGTATTTTTTCCTTTACCTGAGAGATCTGGATTTGGGCTATAATATTCCTGGGAGTTTTCATTTTATGATTTCTTTCAGGAGGTAATTTGTGAATTTATTCAATTTCTCCTTTGCCCTCTGGTTCTAAGATATCTAGGCAGTTTTCCTTTCTAATTTCTTGAAATATGATGTCTAGATTCCTTTTTATTATCATGGCTTTCAGGTAATTCAATAATTCTTAAATTGTCTCTTCTCAGTCGATTTTCCAGGTCAGTTGTTTTTCCTAGAATATATTTAACATTTCTTCTATTTTTTTTCAGTTTTTTAACTTTGTTTTATTGTTTCTTGATGTCTCATGGATTCCTTAGCTTCCACTTCACCAATTCTAACTTTTAAGTAGTTATTTTCTTCAGTGGGCTTTTGTATCTTTTTCCATTTGGCCAGTTTTAATTCTTAAATAGTTATTTTCTTCAGTATTTTTTGTGCCTCTTACCAAGCTGTTGATTCTTTTTTCATAATTTTCTTGCATCTCCCATTCCTTTTCCCATTTTTTTCTCTACCATCTTATCTGATTTTTAAAATCATTTTTGCTCTTTTTAACATCTCTTTTTTTAGCTTTTTCTAGGAATTCTTGTTGGGCTTGTTCCAATCTGCTTTTTTTTTTCTTTGAGGCTTTGCCTATAAATGTTTTCAGGTCATTGTCTTCTTCTGAGTTTGAGTCTCAAGTTTCCCTGTCAATTGGAGTAGCTTTTTATGGTCAGGTTCTTTTTTTTTTTTTTTGCTCATTTTTCCAGCCTTCTTCTTGACTTTGGATTTTATATCGTGGTGGCCTGTGTTCACCTTGGGGTGGGGAGCTGAAATGACTGGCCTAAGCTTTTGTCTTTCATGTTCTTTTGATGCTTTTGCAACTAGGTCTGAGGGCCTTTAAGTTTTCAGTGCTTTCAGTGTGGTATGATCCAAGGAAAAGCCTGGTCCCTGCTCTCTGATCCATTGTGACCCAGAAATAGAAAACAGATGACAAAGCTGCCATTCCTGCTACCAATGATGGTGCAGGGGTCCCCGGGATATCTTTCTGAGTAAACGTTCAGTTTCCTCAGGGTCCCTAGGTGCTGGTCTGCTCCCCGCCACTGCTGCCACTGCCACAGCCAGTTGCTGCCATCACCGCTGGTGCCACTTCTGCTGTACCACGCTCCTGACCAACCCCCACCCCAGTGTTCACTGACCTCTCCTTCTGACTTCCTAAGCTGCCCTGGGCTTGAGAAATGACTCACTGTGACTTTTAACTGGCTTTCTTGCCCAGAATTTGGTTTGGAACATTTTTGTTGTTGTTGTTGTTATGGAGGAGGAGTGTTAGGAGACCTTGGCAAAAATGCAGGATTCACTCCAACATCTTGACTCCACCTCTCTCCACATAGCTCTTTAATCTTCATAGGGGGAGACAAGAATAGTAAAGGCAAAGATGATTCCCCCTAAGAACCAGAACTGAAGAAGCAAACACAGTGAAGAGAAGTGACCAGAAGATGCCCCAGGTTACCCCAAATCCTGAGGCAGGCACAGAGCCAAATTCCTCTCAGTTTATGGATTCCAAAATAGGATTCTGCCTCAACTCCACATAGATAGGGGTTATGGGAGTACGGATAAAGACCCATAAAGAAAAAAAATATCCCTTTCTCCTGGCCTTCTTGCCTTCAGAAAATAGTGGATAGGGAGGTGCCATATCCTGCGTGTTGGTGTGGCTGGTAATCACATATCTGGAAACAGTGGCTACTTTAGAAGATGGAGGCGGGATGGACTCTTCTCTCTGGGTTGTCTAGGAAAGTACTGTCTGGAGACAAGGGAGTGAATTAGACTGTCTCCTTAAGCCTATTCTAGTCAGAGGGTTTAAGACCAAGTTCCTGAGGACGAGGTCTGTCAGCGATTCTAAATCACTTACAGGACCATAGACACAGGTTATTAACAGAAACTATTAAATAATAGTAATGATAAGGATGAACCTTATCCAGGTCCTTATTAAATTTGTTGTTGTTGTTCAATTGTGTCTAACTCTTTGTGACCCTATTTGGGGTTTTCTTGGCAAAGACACGGGAATGGTTTGCCATTTCCTTCTCCGGCTGATTTTACAGATGAGGAAACTGAGGCAAACAGGGTTAAGTGACTTGCCCGGATTCACACAGCTAGTAAGAGTCTGAGGCTAGATTTTAACTCATATCCTGGATCCAGGCCTGGCACTTTATCCACTGTGCCACCTAGCTACTCCTTATTACATACCCTTCCTTATATATAGGATAATATGTTTAGAAGTGGCTAGGTGATAGGGGAAGAAAGATCCTAATGTACTCAACCACATGGTCTTCATTGTTATTAACAAAACTCCTAATGACAAGACCAAGGAACTTTAACAACCAAATAATCTTCAGTACCTTAGGCAAGAAGGGGGAAATGCTACTGAACACTTTCAAGCAAATCCTATATACCCAAAGTAGGAAAAGTCACCATAGTGACGGACTGACTCCTGCCTCTAAGGGAGAGGTGTAGTGGCTGGAGTACTGGAATTGGAGTCAAGAAGACAGGTACAAATCCTGCCTCAGAGAGAGAGATGGGCAGACAGACACTGAATCATAGCATATGTGCTTTGTGGAGCTACTCTAAGAAGAAATCTAGGCATGTCACGTTCGGGATTCAGGGTGTCTGTGAGTCATTCATTTCTAAGGAAAAGCACAGGCTTCTTTAATGCCAGTATCTCTACAAGAAACAACAAGGATCCCAGCCACACTGGGAACTTCCAGGCTATAATGAATCACTCAGGGGTTCCCTACAATTCTTCTCTTTCACTGAGATTTCTAGGTGTTGAAGAATACTTTTTAAAGGTAGATGCAGGGCAGCTAGGTGGCGCAGTGGATAGAGCACCAGCCCTGGATTCAGGAGGACCTGAGTTCAAATCCAGCCTCAGACACATACTAGCTGCGTGACCCTGGGCAAGTCACTTAACCTCATTGCCTAGCGCAAAAAAAAAAAAAGTAGATGCATGGGGGCAGCTAGGTGGCACAGTAGATAGAGCACTGGCTCTGGATTCAGGAGGACCTGAGTTCAAATCCAGCCTCAGACACATAACACTTACTAGCCGTGCGACCTTGGGCAAGTCACTTAACCCCACTGCCCAGCCAAAAAAAAAAACTGAAAAACCAGAAAAAAAGAAGAAAAAGTAGATGCGTAGAGGTTTTGACATGCAAAACAACCCAAAAAGTCCTGCCCAGGACACAGTTAGCCTCACAGCATACCTGACACACCCTGACACACAGTCTTGCTCTCAGACCATAAATGCTGGTCACTTGTTACCATGAACTAAACACCTCCTGTGTTCGGGCCTCAGCCTGTGAATGGGAAGAGTGATCTGGAGCCAATGAAGGTATAATATTTCTATCCAGTTAACCTTGGGGTCTGCAGTCCAGCAGGTCCCCTGAGACTTGGTGTGAGTGAGACTGCATGTGTGGGAGTGGGGCTGAGGGTATTCCTGTCATCCTGTGTCCCAGCACTCCTATACAGAATATCAGTATTCAGAGGCCAGGATTTAATTAAAACAAGATCAAAAAAGGAACCTCCCAGTAAGATTCCCCACCTGAATGGCAAGTTTCTGAGTTACCTGTAATCTCTGCAAGGAAATGAAATGTGTGAAAGGTTAGAGGTTGGGAGGGGCCACAGAAGAAATATTAAACGTGGGTTGGAGTTGCGGTCAGAATGACTATGTACTTACACATAGTCTCAAGGTGGGATGCAGGGGGACAGTGCCGGTGTAAGTGGCTGCTCCATTTTTTTTGAAAGCCTTAATTCTAGTGAAGGCGAATCATTCTGCTACTAATAACTGCCATTCATATAGTTCTTCAAGGTTTTAAGAGTGTTTAACACAGATTCTCTTATTCGATCTTCAGTCAATGAACATTTATTAAGCACTTACTGTGTACCAGGCACTGTGCACAGGATACAAAGAAAGTCAAAATACGGTCTGTGTTCTCAAGGAGCTCACAGCCTGAAGTGGGGTGAGGGGAGGACAACAGGTAAAGAAATGAGCTGTATATAGGATAAAAAGGAAATCATCCACAGAGGGAAGGTACAAAAATTAAGAGAGGTCAGAAAAGGCTTCCCGTAGAAGATGAGATTTTCTTGGGACTTGAAGGAAGCCAGGGATGCCAGGAGACAGAGATGAGAAGGGAGAGCCTTCCAAGTCTGGGGACAAAGATGGAGGGTGTTGTGTGTTGCACAAGAAGGAGACCAGTCACTGGATCAGAGAGTAGGGGGTAAAGGAGAGAAGATGTAAGAATTCAGAAAAGGAAAGGCCCTGCTCAGAGAGAGCTGACTTGTCTGTAATCTCATCAATTTGGGGTTTTGTTTTTGTGCCTGCAGTTGGGGTGGGGCAGGGGGGTAGCATCTATCAGTACCTTTCTCCTCTTTCATCAGACCTGGTTCTATGACTGTGTGTCTTGAGTCACTTCACCTCTCTAGACCTCAGTTTCCTCAGCTGTGAAGAAAAAGGGTTAGAGTAGATGAATCTCTAACCTCCCATGATCCTAACATTAATCTCATCAATTTTCATCCTGTTCATCGGATCTGATATTTCTTCATTCATAGTACTTAATTACTCAAGGGTGTTTTTGCTCCCTTAAGCTGTTTAACATTCATCATAAATCTGCCCTTATACAAGTCCCTTTTGTGCTTTTCTCTAGCGGGCAGGGGATCCAGGGCCGCCCCCTCCTCCACGTGTCTAGTTTGTGGTTTTTGAGAGGAATGGCAAAGTGCTTTTGTGAATCAGGGTGGGGAGGGGGAGGTGGGTTATGTAGCACATTGGAAATTATGGGCATTGGCAGTACTTCATTTTCTGTACTAAATCATCTGAAGGTGGTATGAAGCTGAATGCTTGCCGTGGTAATTATTCCTAGCTAGCCAAAGTTTGTCTGTACCTTCCTCCTCAGCAAGTTTACTCAGGAAGTTTTCTTCTAGAGTGGCGATAGATCAATGTGCGCAAGCCTCCATCCTCTACTTCTGCTTCCTGCAATGATCAAATCACAAAAGATTCCCTTCCACGAGAACCAGAGGCTGGCCACAGATGGAAAATCATGCTGTGCAGTGGGGGAGGCATGGGCTTTCTAGCTTTGTTTTTCCCTTAACTATCACCATTTCTTAACAGGATGACCATATCAGTGGGCTACTTTGGCCTTTCACTTGACACTCCAAACTTACATGGGGATAACTACGTGAACTGCTTCCTCTCGGGTGTGATCGAGGTCCCTGCGTATGTTATTGCTTGGCTGCTCTTACAGCACCTGCCCCGGCGGTATTCCATGTCAGCTTCCCTTTTCCTGGGGGGCAGTGTTCTTCTCTTCATACAACTAGTGCCCCCAGGTGAGGGCTTTGTGGGTCATGCTTTTTGTTTTCTCTACACACCCTTGTAGACGAATGACTCCCCTCACACAATTGTATAGGAAATAAAATCAAGTATTGGATCAACTAGAAGGAATTGACATTACTGGCTGAGGACCATGGGTATGCAGTTCTCTATCAGACTGGGGTAGTATTTTAAACCAGGACTCAGAGAAGGGTGAGTGGGGGAGGAATATTCTAGGACACTTTGGCATTGTTTTCTCTCCAGAAGAGAAAGGGAGCTATTACTGGTTCATTTTCCCCACCATGAGCCCTATGCTTAGTGAGCCCAATCACTGTTAAAAAAAACCCTTTTTTCTTACAGACATTGACACTGCCTTGATTGTGGCCAACATCTGACTCTCGGGTGAGAAATATTTCTTGGTAGAGAGAAAGGAAAGCTTGCAAAGTAGGAATTATTTCCTACTATCCATATAACCATACTGATACCACAGGCAGGAACAAATGTCCCATATCATCACAGTCCCATCCTGTCCTGTGTTGAACTGCAGTATCATTTCCCAGTGTTAAGGGAGGCACAGCAACATAGAAATTGAAGACAAAACCTGACACCAAGTACCCTTGAGTGAGTAGCCATTCCTAGTCCCATATTTGTGGGACAGAGCCATGACCTGATCCAGGACCTAAGAGGTATTCGTTTATTCAGGCCAAACTCTGGCCCCAGTTCACTCAAAGTAACAGAAGGCATGACGAGCAGAAATAGCTCAAAATAGAAATATTACTAAACTGCTCACAGGCTCCAGGGTCACCAGACTCTACCAAAAATTGCCAACAGATCACTTATAACAGGGAAAGTAGTAAGCTACATACAAGTGCTGATGTGAGTAGGCATCCTTAAAGAACTTCAGGAGATGCATTGACATGTCACTGTTGGGTTATCTGACTGAGACTAGTGAAATATCCTCAGGAACAATGGGATGGATCTGAAGAAATCTGCCTTGGGAAATACAGGGTGGGGTAAATGAAGAAAAGAGCGCCCATTGGGGGGACATCCTCCCCAGGCAGCTAAAAACACCCTAAAATAAATCCCAATGGGCAGTACAGGGCCCAGTCTCCATTCTTTAGAAGCAAATTCACAGTGGGAATGTTTGGAAACCAGGCTCAAGAACTATTGAATATAGCTTATCATAGAGTTAAATATAACAACCATTAGGTTGTTATAGAGCCAAAAATTTGGTTCTTGAAAGGACCTCTGCAGTATTCTTTCAATATACAGGCTGAGGCTCTCAGTTTCTTGGGGACACTACCTGATGGTGGTCAGCACGTGCACCATGTGCACCAGGGTTTCCAGGTGGATCAGGACCTTGGGCACAACTCTCCTTTTACACCAGCAAGTTATATACACTGACAAAGAAATGGAGAGGTCTTCACTGTTTGAGGGGAAAATCTTCAGGCAAGGAGGAATTGATCAGGGTGATGCAGCAGGCAGGGCACTTGCTCCAAACCTCACTGAAGCGTGGTCTTCCTGCCCCTGCTTTGTCTCCCCAGACTTATACCCCTTGTCGAATGGCTTGGTGATGATCGGGAAGTTTGGGATCACCTGTGCTTTTGCCATCGTGTACGTGTACACAGCTGAGCTCTATGCCACAGTGGTCAGGAACATGGGTGTGGGAGCCAGTTCCATGGCATCACGACTGGGCAGCATCTTGTCTCCTTACTTTGTTTACCTCGGTGAGTCGCTGTGGACAGTGTGCAGCCTGAACAAAAGGGATATGCCAGTCACATTCTTAAGCTAACATGGTAGAGTTTAACATGGCATGTGAACAAACTGGTTTGGCTTTAGCTGACAAGCATAGTCCTTGGTTTCTCTAGGAAGTTAACTCCATGGAAAGCAAAGTACAAGGCCACTGGAGGTGGGCACTTAAATTCTCTTCAGAGGTAAAATATGATCTCCAAGGACCCTTCCAGCTCTGACAATTTATGATTCTACCACATGGTGTCTCTGGGTAATCAAAAAACATAACTCATGGGTTAGTGTAAAAAGGGATGTGTGCTGATTGTGAAGATGGTACTTACTTTTCTTTCTTTCTTTTTTTTTAATAGTATATTTCCCCAATTACATGTCAAGACAATTTTTAGCATTCATTTTTACAAGATTTTGAGTTCACAATTTTTATCCCTCCCTCTCCTCCCCTCTTCCTAAAGTGGTAGGCAATTTGACATAGGTTATACATGTGCTATCATGTAAAACTTATTTCCATATTAGTCACAGTTGTGAAAGAAGAAACAGATCAAAAGGAAGAAAACCATGAAAAAAAATAAAGTAAGTGAAAAAGTATGCTTTGATCTGCATTCAGAGTCCATCAGTTCTTTATCTGGATGTGGATAGCATTTTCCATCATGAGTCCTTTGTACTTGTCTTGGATCATTGTGTTGCTGAGAAGAGCTGAGTCATTCATAGTTGATCATCACTCGGTGTTGCTGATAACTGTGTACAATGTTTTCCTGGTTCTGCTCATTTCACTTTGCATCAGTTCATATAGGTCTTTCCAGGTTTTTCTGAAATCTATCTGTTCATCATTTCTTATTGCCCAATAGTATTCCATTATATTCATTTACCACAGCTTGTTCAGCCATTCCCCAACTGATGGGTATCCCCTCCATTTCCAATATTTTGCCACCAGGAAAAGGGCTAATACAAATATTTTTGTACATGTAGGTCCTTTTCCCTCTTTGGGATGCAGACCTAGTAGTGGTATTGCTGGATCAAACGGTATGCACAGTTTGGCTGCCCTTTGGGCAGAGTTCCAAATTGCTCTCCAGAATGGCTGATCCATTCACAACTCCAACAACAGTGCATCACTGTCCCAATTTTTGCACATTTTCTCCAACATTTATCATTTTCCTTTTTAGTCATATTAACCAATCTTATGGGTGTGAAGTGGTATCTCAGAATTGTTTCAATTTGCATTTCTCTAATCAAAAGTAATTTAGAGTGCTTCTTCATATGCCTATCGGTAGCTTTGATTTCTTCATTTGAAAACTGCTTGTTCATCTTTTGACCGTTTATCAATTGGGGAATGGCTTGTATTCTTATAAATTTGACTCAGTTCTCTGTATATTTGAGAAATGAGGCCTTTGTCAGAGACACTTGCTATAAAGAGGTACTTACTTTTCGAATGAGAAAACAGCCAAGGGCTATAGAAGCTCATATGGGGTTATTTATTATTTATGCCTTAGCTCCTTCCATCTGCATTTCTCCCACAGAAGTATTCATTTGAGATCCTGAGAATAAAAGGGCTATATGAAAATGCATGTTTTATTAGATTCATAGAGTTAATAAACATCCAAGCCAGAATTAGGACCCCTCTCTCCCGCCTTCAAGGTCAATGCTTTTACCATTTGGCTACTTCTCTTAATTTGATGGTCTTATTGTGGCCGTTGTCTGCTCTGGAGTAGAGAAATACTACTTCTCAGCCAGGAATCGCCAAATTTACCTAGCTGTGATCCCTGTCCGGACCTACAGGATGCTGCCTTTGAGCATTTGCCGCTTTGTGCAAAGGCTATGTGGCTCCAACAAGTGGAAACTCACCTCATTGAGCATAAAATTACATAGACAGGCTGGGGCCTATCTGTGGGGCTGGTCTAGTCGGGTTATTTCTGACTATGGGTTGATGCAATAGTTGTCTTTGGAAGCATGACACTGGGAAACACGCAGACACAACACCAAGCGTTCTGTCCCTCAGTGACATCGTGATTAGCTGCAGTTAGTCCAAGGGGCTACTGTCCTCAGCCCACTGGCCTTTACTTTTGGTAAGTCAGTGCACTGCTCGGGCAATGCTGGGCTGATAGGCAAATTGTGAGGGCTGGTGAGGAGAAGGGAGGGGAGATGGGTAGGAGAGGGGATTGAAAGACTACCCCAGTAAGTATTAGGACTACATGACAATGTACCCAGGTCATGGTGCATTGAAGGTCAACCCCATCGTAATCACCCAGATCTTTTGTGTCTTAGGTGCCTATGACCGGTTCCTGCCCTACATCCTCATGGGGAGCCTAACTGTGCTGACAGCCATCCTTACCTTGTTCTTCCCAGAGAGCTTTGGGATCCCTCTCCCAGATACCATTGATCAGATGCTGACGGTCAAAGGGTAAGAAACCTCTTCTCTAAGATATTCTTCTCTTTTAAGATCCTACATTTCTTCTTGATTCAGTTAACCCTCACAGCTGGCATACTCCCTGACTGTTCCATTCAGACAGCACAGAACTCAGGGCATCCTGTGGATTTGTATGTGGTGAACAGTTTATTTCCTTGGAGCAGCCCAAAGTAAAAATAGAAAAGCCCGACAAATTCTCCATTCAGTGCTTACCAGGGGAAAGCAGACCCGGTGATCTTGCTGTCAGTCAGTAAACATTTATTAAGCACCTACTTATAAGGCACTGTACTGAGCAGTGGGGATACAAACAAAAAGTCAAAACACAGTCACTGCTCAGAGTCCAATGAAGCAGACAACATGCAAACAACTATATAGAAACTCTGTGTGTGTGTATGTGTCCAGAAACACACACACACACACACACACACACACACACACGTTAAACAGGAGACAGACAACAGAGGGAAGACACTAGAATTAAGGGGGATCAGGAAAGGTTTTCTGTAGAAGATGCGATTTTATCTGGCATTTGAAGAATGCCAGAAGCTAAATATAATGATAGAGAGTATTCTAGGCATGGGGGACGGCCAGTGAAGAAGCCTAGAAATGCTTTCTGAGTGGAAGTGTGAGAAGGGTAGGGATGTGGGGGTGGGGGAGGTGGGGGAATAATTCAGCCTTTGGTGTGTTGAATACTGCAGGTGTTCCCAGAATATATCTTCCTGTCTGATCCTGCCCAACACTGTCTCTGTACGTGTCTCCACAGAAACAAGAGCTTTAGTACATTGCAAACAATGGGAAGAACAATCATAATAGGATATGGTTTTTCCTTTTCTTTTGGTGAAGTTCTACCCTTTTAAAAATACTTTCTAATATATATTTTAAATGCTGTGATTAGAATAGATATATCTGATAGAGGCTGGCTTTACACATTTCTTACTAAATTTAATTTGCCTTTTTTTTTTATAGAATAAAATACAGACAAACTCCCAGCAGCAGCAGCAGCGACTCAAGAATATTAAAAGAAGGTGAAGAGAGACACGCAGTCCTTAAAACCACAGCCTTTTAGTGAAGCCTGTATTCAGTAAGACGCTGAAGGAGACTTTCCTATAAGGGCTTATGAGAACACTAAGTGTCCTGGGGTATTAAACATCCTGGTATTTATTACATGGAACCCATTCCCCCCTTATTTGTTGAATAGGCACATAGACACTGTCCTTAAGAGAAATCAAGACCAGGTTGCTTTCAATATCATAATGACTTGGCTTCTCATAAGTAGTTCAGTACCTACTAGAATTAATGGGTATTTGAAGCGGGTATGGGGGTGATATATTAAATTTACGGAGTAATTTGAGATTCTCTGAAAAAGGCCACTAATAAAATTGGATGTTTATTTTTCTTCCTTCCTTCATTTGCTGGGGGATGGCAATTTCGCTTGTCTTGTTTTCCTGTGTTCCTTAGGAATGCTTAACCAGACTTGTTTCTCCAGGGCTAAAGAAAGGATGGGGGCTGGGAAAACTTGAATGTAGTTAGGGTGGAAATGGATTTTATTATATAGAATGTCACCATCCATGCAGTAATTTGCTAGCAGAATTTCTCTAATCACTCAGCACAGCTACTGGGTGATCAGGTGGGCTCAAAGGGTTGGGCTTGTCCAGGCCCATGTAAAAAAATAAAATATTGCAAATCTGCACTTCTTCCATTGTTAGATAAGTCAAACCTTCAGTCTTGCTCCGGGATCATCAGTTGTTGTTGTTGTTGTTGTTGTTTTCCTAGTAGTTTGAAGGAAACACAGAATTGGGGAATGTGTAGGGAAGGCTAGGGATTGAAAATAGGTTATAATATCTGTTTACTCAAAGCCTTGAGATTTTTCTGGCAGAGTGTGGAGGGGAGGGGCCTTCTCTTTAAATCATTTACCCTTCAAATTATATTTGGAAAAGGGGGCTAATTGGGCCCTAAGTTTTTGTCATCTGTGCCCAGCTGCAAATAAACTGAATGTGAGTAAACATTTGCTAGGAGCCAATGTTAACTAGCCTTGTGTAGATGCCAAAAGTGACGATATGTGGTGCTTTCCTTTTCTGATCTTTATCATGGAAAAAATGACTAAGACCATGGATGTGATTTGAGTTTCTCCTGTTAGATTGTGGGTGTGAGTATATCTACTCACCCAAGTAACAGAGGTACTTACTTAAGTCATGTGATGGCCATAGTTGAAACTTGTTGGGAGATGAGGAGGGTAGTAAGCTTTTTATTTGCCTTCTTTTTTTCCCCTTGATTCCATTGCCATGGTATACTAAAGCATATTCTTCAACTGGTCAAAAAAATGATTTTTTTTTTGTGAAAACTACTGTGGTGTCTTAGGGATATTAAAAAAACTTTAATAAACAAAATTTTTTTAAAAAAATAATGATAGCTGTCTACAACCTTTACTTCTATTAAAGCTGCTGATTTATTTATCACTCTACTACTTGGTTTATCTAAGTGCTAAAAGACTATATCATCATCTCCTCTAGCTTCCCACTAACTTTGTATACAGTCAGCTTGGCTGATTCGATAGCTAGGGTAAATGGATTAGATCTCCTTGTAGGTCAACTTCACTCTATTCATCAGCCATAAGTTGGTACCCTAACCCCCCACCACCCCTAGTTATACAACTCAAACCTTTCTCACAAACTGACCTCTCCATAACCCAGCCCACAGATGCATCCTCCCAATCGAAGCCTGGCTCAGAGATGTATATTACTGTCCACAGCAGAAACAGGTTAGAGGGAGTGAGAGATCAGGGCCACCCATCCTCTCTGCTGCAGAAATCACTCAAAGGGCATGGAGCTCTTTCTTTTACCCACAGGATAAAGTACAAACTATCTGAGGGTGTCCACAAACTGACTTCTACCTACTTTTCCAATCTTATTAATACTGCTCCTTTTCATATACATACTGTTGTGTTCCAACCAAAATGGAATATTAGCTATTCTCCAATCTCACCTTTCCTTCTCACTTTTCCATGTGTTCACCTAGAATATTCCCTATCTCAAAGTGATAGTTGCTCTTCACTTCAAATTCTATTATAAAGTAGTAATCATCAAAACAATATGGTACTGGTTAAAAAATAGAAAAGTAGATCAATAGAACACGCAAGATAAGGAAAAAATAAGAAAATTGAACTAAAAAGCTTAGTGTTTAATAAGCCCAACATAGATTACTTGGGGGAAAAACTTCCAATGTGACAAGAACTGCTAAGACAAATTCAAAACCTTGGCAGAAATTAAGTTTAGATCAACATCTTATAACTATATACCATAATAAACTCAGAATGCCACCTAAATGAGCAATCATTCCTTGATGGACAATAGGAAACAAAAAAAAAAGATTAAAGCATTTATTAAATACCTTCAGTGTTCCAGGAACTGTGCTAAGTGCTTTTCAAATGTTATTTAGTCCTTACAACCACCCTGGCAGGTAGGTACTATTATTACCCCCATTTTACAGTTAAGGAAACTGAGACAGAAATTTGTTGACTTGCCTAAAGTTATACAACTGTTAAGTGTCTGAGGCTGGATGTGAACTTGGGTCTTACTGTCTCCAGGCCCAGGGCTACCTACCTACTTGGAAAGAGGTTAAGAGATGGGAATAGGCAGTTCTCAAAAGAATCACCAACTATTAACAACCATATTAAAGATTTCTCCAAACCACTAATAACAGCACTGATAGACATCACCTTACACCAGTCAAGCTGGTAAAGATAACCAAAGATGGAAACAGTGTTGAAGGAGCTATGGGAAAACAGGCACACGGATCATTAGTGGAGCTATCAATTGTTCCAACCATATTGGAAAACAATTTGTGATCTAAAATAATGACTAAAATGTCCATATACTTTCACCCTGAAATACCACAGCTAAACATATACACCAAGCATAGCCTGCCAAAGACGAAAAGAAAGGCTCTATACACACCAAAATATTTACAGAATAGTTTTTTGTGGTGGCAAAGCATTGGAAACAAAGTAGCTGCCCGTTCATGAGGAAAGGGCTAAACAAACTGGCACATGACTGTTACTGTGCTTTAAGTATTGATTAATATGAAGAATTCAAGGAAGCACTGGAAGTCTTATATGAACTAATACAGAGTGAAGTAAGCAGAACCATAAAATAATATTCACAATAATTACAAATATGTAAATGGAAAGAGTTCTGTAAAGTATAACAACCAAGCTTGGGCCCAGAGGATAATTGAGAAAATTCAATGTACTTATAGGTCACTTGGCCAAGACAGCAGACCAAATATTTTTTCCCAGTCCTCATTAACTCTCAAAAAAATTAACAAAGAGTAATTATGTACCACATGGAATACTGACAGCTGAATCAAGGGAACAAAAAAGTGAGAGTTCCCACGTGGTAAAATCCTTATGAACTAGTATTGGAATGAAAAGCCCCAAAGCTGCTCACCCAGCACTCCTTCTGCACTAGACTCCACGCTCTTAGCAGACACACACAAACTGATCTGTATGCTTGTGGCTGTGTCCCCACGTTGGGACTCCCTATAACTGCAGAGTCATTGTAACACACCTCGCCCCCTTCCTGCCTCCCATTTCTGCAACAAGCAGCACATAACTGATTCTGCCCAGCAACACGAATCATGCTGCCTTCTGCCCAAGGTGTTCCCTAGGTGAGAGACCCCAAAGGCTGAAGAGACGATTACAACCTTCTCAGAACCCTGAAAAAAGTGACACTTAGTCAGCCAAGACAGAAAAGGAAAGGACAAGAGCTAAGAGAAACTGGGACAGAGAGGAACAGCATAAGTGACTGCGCTAGGCCTAAAGGAAAGCGGACTGAAACACAGCTGAGACCAATCTGGTGCTCTCAGAGGCCATTAGGGACAAGAACCAAGACCAAACTCAATAAAAACCCAGAATGCAAACAGGTAAATCAACAGAGAATACTAACATGGGAAGAAAGGATGAGTATTAACCCTCAGAGAAATTACAAAGCTCTCATAACAAATATTATGAGACAAAGTAAAGTGAACTAATGCCCAATGGAAATACAGACTCCTGTAGAATCGTAAGAGAATTTGGACAGCAACAAGAAATTCCAAAATGGTCCAAAAGAGAAACAAAATCAATAAGAGAATAAATTAAGAATGAATATTTGTCAGAAGTTATGTTTCCTCTCATCCAACCCTTTTGCAGAGACAGGAGGTCCACAAGTGCTTCACTTTGCACATATGTTTAGACTCTTTCAATGTATTGATCAATTATGTTTATTTTTTCCTCTTTTTCATTTTTTGTCTTTAAAAAATACTATTTGGGATGGCACTATGGAAAGGGTTGAGGGAAGCATGCAGGGGGAAACTGTGGTGAAATAAAAACATTAATAAAAATTTATTTTAAAAAATTAAAGTTATAGGTCTCAATATAGTAATGAAAAAGTAAATGAGCAGACTAGGAAAATTTTTGAATCCATAGTAAAGAGTTTCTCAAGTTACAAAAGAGAGAATAACAGATCTGGAAAATAAAAATACTGAAGTGGAAGAAAATCTGACTAGAGAGAAGAAAATGGTAACAATATTAAAAGAACTCACAATCCCTGTAAGCCACTGACCTCAAAGACAGGATGGACTGAGACAATTTAAGAAAAACATGACAAATCAAAAAAGCTTGAACACCACAATCCAGGAAATAACACAAGAAAACTGCCCAGAATCTCTGACTATAGAAAACAGGCATTGATTCAGATCCATAGATCACCTCCAGGGGAAAAAAAAAAGTCTGCCCTTCAAATTCCAAGATACAGAATGGTTAAATTTAGCAATTCTAATGACAAACAACAAATTCTGAAGGCAGCTAGAAGAAAGATCTTAAAAAATAAAGGAAAGAAAATTCAAATATTACAAGATTATTCTGCACTGGCTCAAAACCACAGAAAGGAATGGAATCATCAGAAAAGCAAAAGAACTCAAGCTATAACTCAAAATGACAAAAGTCTACAAACTTGAGCTTAATCATCAATGGAAAAAAAGACAGCCATTTAAGAGGAATTTGAGGCATTCTGGGAAGGGAAAAAAAAGGCAGGAACAGAATATTTGATTTACAAATACCCCAAACCACAAAAATACAAGAAAAGTAAATACAATTACCAAAGAAAGAATAAGTAATGAAATTAGTTACAAATGTTTAGAGGTTGTTATTTTTTTTTTTCTTGCTTGCTTTTTGGTGAGGCAATCAGGGTCAAGTGACTTGCCCAGGGTCACACAGCTAGTAAATGTCAAGTGTCTGAGGCCAGATTTGAACTCAGGTCCTCCTGACTCCAAGGCTAGAGCTCTATCCACTGAGCCACCTAGCTGCCTCTAGAGGTTATTATTTTTAAAAAGAGGGAAAAAAAGGAAAGACTAACCTACAGGGTTAAAAGGGAGAATGGGGGTGGGAAGACAATCACCAGAAGATTTTTTTTTAAGTTCAGAAGGGAATAAAGATGTAAAGGAGTGGGGTAAAAAAGAGGAGAAAGAGTAGAGGAACAGAACTGAAATACCATGGATTACAGCCAACAATCCATCCGCAAGTGGAATAAGATATTTTGTGGGACAGAATTGCAAAGTGGGAGGGTGCATCAATGGAGAGAGAGGAGTAGAAGTACAGAAGGAAATGTGTAATGTACTCTTATCAAGTCCACAGGTGAACAGTGAAGTAATGGTGATGCCTTATATTTTCTCAGCAAAAGAAGGAGGATGTGAGAATTGGAGAGGTAAAGAAAGGGAGGAGTTGAAACTGGCAGAATGGAAGGCAGAAAAGGAGAGTGTTCACTGAAGAGCACTCCCATGGGGGGAAGAGGTTTACTCTTATGATAGGAGATGGGGACTTTAAAATGGGTTTTATCTGGGGGTGATGCCTTGAGATCACCTTCTCTGAAAGAGTATTTTGTCTCCATGATTAACATTCTGCCCCAAAAGAAGAAGAATTCAAGATTCTAGGGTCAGCTGGCACACAGAAGTAGAAGGGCAGGCATAGACCCAGGGTCATTTCTACAACATCGTTACATGGCTATAGGAAGGAGAATGATCACGGGGAATTCCAGTGGACAGAGTTATTTTGCATAGTTTAGGACAGAGGGAAATTCCTACCAGGCCATACTGCTTCTAGTCACATAACTCCCTCATCAATCGATATTTTTAACAGTAAAGCACGATAGGAAAAAAAATACAAGAGGGCAAGATCTATAAAGGCAATTAAGTACAAGAAGGGGCTCAAATTCAGTACTTTAGAAGCCTGAATTATATGAGAAATACTAAAAGATTAAAGAAGAAATAAATTGGGATATATAGACCATGAATTGGAGAATAAAATTTTAGAACAGAAGAAAAGGAAAAAGAATCAGTGAAGAGAATAAAGAAACATTTCCTAGAAAAAAAGGTGTAGGAAAAATAAATTTACTAAGAAATTAAGATGATGGAGCTGGACCCTCTGAAGAGGAAACATGTCCTCCAAGAAACAATGATGCGAATCCAATAATGGGAGAAACATCATAAATTAGGAGTCAGAGGAAAAATAATCAAGTACAAGAGTTTTACAACTCCCCGTTGAGAGGTACCAAGACAGCTATTTGTTTTCTAG